TCTGGAGCCAGGCTCCAGATCTGATGTCCAGCCTACAAATACCCCATATGCCTTCTCTCCTGGGAGGATCCTGGAAAGATGAAGACAGCAAGCAAAGTGCTTAATGGACAAACCTCTGAGATGGGAGGATGTGTTCCCTTCCCAGGGACAAGCAAGCCTTCCAGCTGGATATTTTTTGCAGTTGCTTGTCCTCTTGTTTCAAGCCGCGCCAAGAGCCAGAAAGAATCAATATATCCAAATATACCCGACTTCTCCCAGAGTCCCTTTGCTGGTTTGCTGCTGATGTATAGACAGATGATCTCATGAGACCTCTGCCACATCAGGCCACCATGTCTCATCTATCTTAAGTGCATATACGAGCTGTGATTACCGCTGTGTCCGAGTGCCTCACGTCTGGAATGTATTTATCCTCCCCTCGGTTCCATGAGACAAGGGACTGCCATGGTACCTCTTCCAGGGAAGCCACAGAGGTTAAACTGGCTGATCAGGGGATAGCTGGGATGTGGCAATGTCAGGATCCTCTGAGGATCTCCCCTGCCTCTGCCTTGGAGCAACAAGGTGTCACCTGCCCCACAAATGACGGCTCAGACTCAGCCTGGGACTCCGACTCCACACAGGATCCAGCTATCAGCACCCAGCCTAATCCTGAGATTAATGAGGGATTCCTGCTACACAGACCTCTCCGTCAAACCTCTCACAAGTAAATACACCATCAAGCCAAACCATAATGTTTTCCTACCCTGGCAGCCGCTGTCTTAAGCCTCACACCAGAATCCATCATACTACAGCAATAATCAAAAAGCAATTAGACAAAACCGTGGCAGAAAAGTCCATCAAGGGTTGTTAAGGATGACGACTTGGATGCAGCCTCTGGCTCAGGATGTCTGCGTGTGGCCAGGCGGATGAGCCAGTGGAGGGATCCTCGTGCCCACACCTAGTTTGACACCCTTTCTTTGTGCCCCTGGCCCTGGCATGGCAGGATAACCACACTTTGCCTGCCCACAGAGCCCTCCCCCTCCTTACTGCTGAGCCATGCCTGCTCCTCCTGGGACAGAGGCTGCCGAGCCTTCATCCCTCCTGGAAGATCCCTCACTTCAATTCCTTGGCACGTTTCCTGAGCTAAATGGGAGGCATGACGAGTCTCGTGTCTGCAGCACAGATAAATATCCCCTGGATAGCTCAACGTGGAGCCACTCGCTCTGCCAGGGCTTTGGCGTCACCCCGAGCCCGGCAGCCCGGGGTGCCAACAAATCCCAGCCTGCATCCACCATGAAAAGAAAACTGGCCTGACAACATGACAATCGCCATGACAACATCAGAGTTACCCCCAAAAATAAATAAAAAGCCCAGTAACTATGGAAACACCTGAGTGACCAAAACCAGGCTAGTAACTAGAAGACCTCGCTGCAGTTTACGGATGGTATCGGCACTGCGGGGCTATAACACATCCAAAGCCTTGGAAACACGGAGATGCTCGGCACCTAAGGGTGCAAAGTGGATGTTCACGGGCACACACATGAAGAGGGGCGCCTTTCAGACCCCTGAATCCAAGTCCTCTCCACAACTTGCACCTCCTCTGGAAAGATGCTGCTGCCTTCCTGCTGGGTGTTACATCCAGACCATGGTTATCCAACATCCTTCTCTCCCCCTTTGCCCTTCTCCCTCTCTCCACCCTGCTGAGGATGCCTCTCTTGGTTGCCATCTCAATAGTCTTGGCCTGACAGGGGTGCCAAGAAGGGATGGAGCAGCCCCATCCCATGCCAGAGCTTGGTATCCCCATATGGTTTTGGTGAGCTGTGTTTTGAAGCCTCAGTGCCTGGCAGCTCCACTGACACTTGTGCTGCCAGTTAGCGCATCCAAGCCCAGGATAGGGCCTCAAAGCAGTTAATCCTCCTCTGGAGAGGCAAAAGAAGCTGAGACTTCACCAGCTCCTCTTCTTTTTCCACCTCAGCCTCTTCAGCTGCATTAACGGGAGTTGCTGTGGGTTAGTACAGCATTACTGGGAGAAGAAATAAAATAGGACCGAGGGGGTGAGGCAGAGGGACAGAAGACAGGTTGTACCACGCATTGGTTGGACTGGTCATGGGTTCAAAAAAAAACCCTTCTCCAGAGCCAGCATCCTGCTTTTGCTCGTGGCAGGAGATGGGCATAGGTAGGGTCAGGCACCGTGCAAGGCTCTGATCAGTGATGGAGGCACTTACGGGACCAGCACTTGTGTGATTCACTAGCAGAAAACTCTCTTGCTCAGGTTCACTCAGCTCTTGAGTTATGCCATAAAAATGCTCTCCTCAGCCCAGCTATAGAAACTCCTCCAGCCCCCAAACCAAACAGAGCCTCAAAAACCAGCCTCCCAGAACACGGCAACAACTGCAGACAGGAAAATTCAGAGTTCACCAGCCCAAGCCACTAAACATATTCATCAGAGCAGAGAGGGAACAGTTGAGTGCTCAGGGGAGCCTGGAGTGGCTGGAAGAGGGTCTCCAGTGAGATCAGTCCCCAGGGAGCTGGGCTGCTCTGGGTGTAAATCCTCTGAAGGAAAACCTGCCCTGGTGAGCAAACTCTCTTAGTTGCTCCATTTCCCTCCAGGAGCGGTGCAGTGGAAAATAATTAGGCCTGCGAAGTGCCTTTGCACGGGGCAACACTCGCCAGCATCAGCACGGACCACCAGTCCTTCAGCTCCTGATGTGTCTGTGCCTGGCACAGACAGCGCTGGCACAGCCTGTCCCCAGCGATGCCGGTGAGAGCCACTTACCATCCGCTCTGTAAACCCTTAAAATATGCACCAGCATTCCCTGAACCAATTCTCCCTCATCCCCGTTCTCCACCACTCCAAGCGAGACGGAGGAAGACGGCGAGAAGGAACAGGAGGCGTCTCGCTCGAGACTTCCCGTGGGACGAGTAGCAGACCAACAACTGGGAGAGGGGTCAGCAGCAAGCTTTGGGTCCCACTTGCTCCCAGATCTCCAAATTAGAGTATATCCTGCTAGGAAAAAGGATGCCATCCTGGCGCCTGCTATAGCACCTCTACACATCGTCCCTGGCCCTCATTTCAGTCCTCACACTTCCCATCCTCATCTTTACCGTGTGTGGTGAATGCAAAATGGGGAAATAGAGGGTCCCCTTGGTGATTTGGCAGGCCCACAGACAGAGGAGCTGCCCACGGAGATGGACAGCCATGGAAGTTGTCCTGAGTCACCTCTGGGCTCAGCACCTTCCATCAGCAGGAGACCAGGCTCAAGTAAATCTCTGTGATCATTTGTTCCCTTTGAGTTTTGAAAGCAGAATGCCTAATCATGGCCAAAATCAGGAAAGAGCTGCTGCTGCAAATTACACAGCACCACAGGTAATTTCTGATTAGCTCACTCTTCCTGTCCTGGTGCATCCTCAGTTTCCATAGCAGCTAAGTCCTAAGTAAAATGGAAACATCTGGTTCAAGCGCAGGTAAAGATTCCCTGGGGAAAAAAACCTGCTGGATGGCAGCAAACACAGAAAATAGCCCTCGTGAAAGACAGAGGCACCAGGAGCCGGGAGCCTGGTTAGGAGAGGATGGATGGTGTGTGGGAGAAGGCAGCGAGGGGCATGGGAGTGGGAGAAGAGGGTCCTGGAGGAGCAGGAGGGGATGTGGGAAGGAGAGCGGAGCTGTGGGGAAAACAAGATGCATGTGAAAAACAGGCGGTGAGGAGGCTGAGCTAAACAAAAACATGTTGTCAGGGTAGACAAGGGGAAGAGGAGGAAGAAAAGGCTTCGAGGTGGGAGCACATGGGCTGCCTCGACCATAAATGCTGCCTGGTGGTGACAACTTTGGTTCCATAGAGACACTCAGGGATGGGGAGGAGCATATGGATCCACACCCTGAATTTCATCAGTTATCCATGCACAGATCTCAACCGAAGCCACCAGCTGGAAGCAAGACCACTTAGAGCGCATTGAGGGAACGGTTTCTACAGAGGCTCCTGTCAGGGAAGGGGCTGAGATGCCACCAACTCATCTCACCCAGTGCCTGGGCTTTGGGCAGTGACGGATAAGGCCCAACCATTCCCTCCAGCGCAGACAAATAGCAAAAAAATCAATGGAGCTGCAGAGAGACACCGCAGCCATCGCCAGGCAGCGAGCAGGCGGAGCAGACACGGTGCCATCCGTCACTGCCGCCCCTGCACCACCCCCTCCGCCTGCCCAGCAGCCCGGACGGCTGTCCCCGAGGAGAACTCGAGGCAGTTGTCTGCAACAACAGCCCACATTGGTAGGGCCTCAGGGGAAGCACCACTCCGAGGTGGAACTGAAGTGCTTAGACAGGATCAGAGGAGCAGAGCCAGGCGGTGCCGCACGGCTCGTCCCGCCCAGAGCCCCCCGGATCCCGCCCCCAGCTCACCCACGAGATCCTCCTCGCAGCCACAGGGGAGTAACAGGGCAGCAAAATGCAAAGCAAAGGCCAAAAAGCAGCTGGGAAAAAGGGTTTGAGATTATACGCTCCCGAACGCATGGGGATTTGCTTCCCAGCAGTCACACCCACACAGTTCTGCTGAGGCTTTGCTTACCAATTAACAAGGCCACCAATTAATGCTTCATGTGTTTTCCTGCTCATTTGCACTATTTACAATCTCCCTTTGAAGCAACGTGTAATAATTGCCCGAAAACTTTTCAAAACAGGGCCCTACAAGCACGTTCAGTGTGCAGTGGGGGTGCCCCGAGCAGGAACTCCACGATCCTTGTGTACCCTTCCAACTCAGGATATTCCCTGATCCTATGAATCTCTGAGCACAGTAATCCCCATCTGGCACCTACAGCCAGTCCTCAGCCCAGCCAAAACCATAAACTGTCCTTCCAGACCACCAAGATGGATGTTCCTCTACCAAAATCAACAACTCCTGCATTAGGTCACATCTTTTCAGTTCTCTCTTCACCTTCACTTTGCAACTGAACCAGCCACTGACGCCTCTCCAGCTGCTCACAAATGGTGCTGTGCCCATCCCAAAATATTTCTGGCAATATTTGGCTCTTACCTTTGGGTGAGATATGTCTCCAGGTGATTGTTGGATCTGGCCTGCCCGTGGCTATGCAGGTGAGGCTGACGTTGCCGCCCTCGTTGATGGAGATGTCAGAAGAGATCTCGACGATTTTCGGAGACACTGCAATGACACAGAGAGAAGGAAATTGAAACTGGTTCTGCTCCAGCTCAAATCTCAAGCTGTGGGTGAAGGAGACTGTACTTCCATCCTCCCTCCACCTTGACAAGCTGTGCAGCAGCCCATCAGTCTCATCTGCCTTGGCAGGAGCTCACAGGGAAAAGAGGGGGCAGAGAAGACAGGGCTGAAGTGGGAAAAAACTGTAGCCAGAGGGGATTCAGTCATTTTAGGGAGGCTCACAAGAAGCTCCTCCTCAGCACCTCCATGGTGTGCAAGACAGTGCTTCTTCCCATCCCACTTCCAGCACTCCTTGTGTCCTCTCAGCCATGACAAACCCTTCCCAGCAGAGCTGCATCCCCAAAAAACACCATCCACCCCTTCAAACTCCTGCAGGATCTCTGCCAGGCCCTTGTGACCAGAGAAGCACCCAGAGGAGCAGGGCACAAAGAAAATGAGTCTACTGAGGAGCCTGTAAATTCTACCACCATGCAAAGGAAGGGTTATTCCATGGGGATGGAAGCTGTGCCACTGCACTGGCACTGCCATCACGAACCCTCAAGAGAGGGTCGGGTCTGAGGGGTCCAGACCTAAGGAGAGGACACACATGTAGGACAGGGGGAGGTGAGGAGGGAGCTGGAAAGGGATGAGGAGCAGGCAGGGAGCACTGGGCTCCTGTTGCTGTGTGAGCAGAGGACACGGGGAGGGCTGAGCTTCCCAGGAGCACCGTGGTGAGGCTGCACGAGGAAAAAACGATGGGCTGCTGTTATCAGCCTGCACCTGCAGAACATAATAAAGACCATCACCTCCCTGGGTTTATTTCCAAGCTTTCTCAGGAGCCCAGCAGTGGATTGGCCCCCGCTGCTGCGCTTCGCAGGGAGAGCCACAAATCACCTGCAAAGCATCCTGCTCCTTCCACCCTTCCCATCCATCACCCCCGCTCCGAGCTGCAGCCCAGGCCACTGCAACACCCCTGCTCCCGACTTGCACCCCGCTCCTGAGCATCCCTTCCCTGCCTCTCCCCACCTCCCACACCTCCCCGGGCTGAGCCGAGCCGGAATGACTGCAATGGCCTTGCACGCAATGCCTCTGCTGTGCAGGTAAGTAATTTATTGATCCGTAAAGCACTCCAAGACGCTCTGGAAGGGATTATGTCATGCCAGTGCCGCGCAATAAAATAAAAAATGATGGATTTTTTGTGAACATGATGGTGATTTAGGGTTTGTAGTTGGAAGTGTAGTTAAAGTACATTTTAAGTGGAAATCAAGGTGGGTAATGAATTATTCTCTGTTTTGAAGGGCTTCTGGGAGTTCATTTTTTTGCTGCTCTGGGCACAGTGGCTAATCTGCTAATCATGCACTGGAGAACAACTATGGATCAGATGCTCCCAAACACAGTGAGGGCTCTGGGGCAGGACAGTGGAGGGCACGAAGACAATACCAAAAGAAACATTAATATGCATCAGTGTCATTAAGGGGACAGCACAGGTCTCCTGGGGCCACCCAGAGCTGGGAGATGCTCTGCCCATGGCCAGGTATTCCATTGAGGGGAAGCAATTAATTACAGCAGTGCTGTGATTACCCCTCTGTGTTCCTGCTGAGACTGCCAGCCAGGAAATCCATGTGTGCCTTTAAAAAAATGGAGCTTGTGGGCTGGACAACAAAAATAGGCCACAGGGGTATTACCACTATCATTTTGGAGAGGTGGGAAGAGACAAGCAGAGACAAGTGGATCACCCACCATTGCCTGGGAAGCAGCAATAGCTTCCAGCTCTAAGTCCTGACAAACTAGAGCAGTATCCATCACCTTTAATGTGCTGTTTGCTGCATCACAGAGGAACCTTTCTGAAGTTTTTAACTGCTGAATCCACATCGACCCAATTCAGATTGTTTTGCAGAGAGTTTAAAAAAAAAAAGAAGTAAGAGTTTGAGCTGCTACTCTGAAAGTGCACAGGCAGGTTTGCTCAGGAGAGAGAGAAAATAATTCAAGTGACCAGATTATAAAACATGATTAAAGCAAATTAAACTTGGGTTTCATTGACAGGACAAGGGGGAATGGCTTTAACCTGAGGAGGGTTGATTTAGAACAGATATAAGAAGTTTTTTTACAATGAGGTGATGAGGTCCTGGCAAAGGTTGCCCAGAGAAGCTGTGGCTGCCCCATCCCTAGAAGTGTCCAAGGTCAGGTTGGATGTGGCCTGGGCTAGTAGAAGGTGGCCATGCCCATGGCAGAGGATGGAATGAGATGGGCTTTAAGGTTCCTTCCAACCCAAACCATTGCATGATTCTATAAAAGCAGCTCAAGCACCAAGGAAAAAGCCCACCAAGACTCCAGCAAGTTTGGGACACTCCCAGAGAGAAGCAATTTACTGTGTCCCATCTGGAATGAGAGGAGGCAGGAATGGCTGGGAAGCAAACCAGACAAACAACATCATTGAAGCTGTTAACTAACCCTGGAATGAACTATGCAGTGGTAGGGTTTAACACGGTGGGTATTGTATGTTAATTAAATGTTTGAATATTTAAGCACACAGACTATTCCAAATGCCTTTCTGGAGGCTGAACAGGTGTCTTGTAAAGCTTTTACCACGCTGGGGAGGGAAACCTTAATGAAGTGATCCAAGAATATATTTAATATTATTTAACAATCATCACTTCTTCCATTCCCTCTGCATTAAAGGACTTTCACCATCAGCTGGCATTTCTGCAGCACTGGGGCAGAGGAGACATTTCCTATGCCCAAAGCAGGATGCAGATGGAGCTGTGCCCCTTTGGGAATGAATAAATAAATAAAGCTAAGTAAATGCAGGCTTCCCAGGCGGGAACCCTCTCCTTGCGGGCAGTCCTTTTGTGTTCAGCATCTCCCTTGCTCACAAGTGATTAAACATGGCAGTGTTGGCCAGGCTGCTCCAGTGACACAGCACAGATTTCCCCAGAGGCAGGATGGTGGTTTATCGATCCAACTTCTTTTCCCCCCTCCCTCCCCAACCGTGCCACGGTGCTGGGGGAGCTCTCTGGGCTGCTCTCAGCCCTCCACAGGTGCCCAGGGTGTGCCCCCCCCCCCCCCTTTGACTCCTTGCACACATGGAGTCCCCAGGACAGAAAGCAGCTTGCTTAAATATTTAACCAAGCCATCTGGCGCGTTCCACGTTGGAGGGTGTTCAGTCAGGTGATATATGTCCTTACGGATCCGAGCATATGTGCTTGCCTCCACAGATAGATTCCCTGGCGCACAGACACCCTCCTGCCACTGGCACAGACAATATCCCTGCCATGCTTTCACCTCCAAACACCCGCTCCAGGGCCAGCACAGGTGCAAAAGCGTCACTCGTCCCAGGCACGTACCCCACGGCAGCGCTGAGCACAGATCTTCGTCTCCTGGGAATGCTGCAGGGCTCCCCTTGCACCTACACCACCTCCTCTGCTGCCTCCCCTGTGGCACTCACTGCAGGACTGATCCCTGATTACTCCTCCAGCTGCCTTTTATAGCTCATCCCAAATTGCATAAACATCCCCAGCCTTGCCTCGTTGCTCAGGCCCTGCTGTCTCCATGTGATCACCTCCCCACCCGCCCTCCTGCATGCAGGACCCTGCTGATTGCCTGGGCTTTCCTCTCCCTGACACCCAAAATTCCAGCCACGCATCAGGCAAGGAGTCCCCTGAGTATGAGGGGAGTGTGGATGTGAAACAACCTCTCCACCAGAGACTGGGAAGGAGACCTCAGATGAGCCTCACCAAGCTGGATGCCTTTCAAGGAGTAACTGTGTATTTTTGCCTTAACCACCTCCTTTCTACCCACTTTTGGGAGCCAAGGAAGCAGGGCAGAAATACACCTGTGACCTTTCCAGATACCTTTTGGTGTGGGAAGGGAAGCAGAGCAGGTGTTACCCCAGTGAAGGGGACTCACAGCCCCTGGCACAGCCTGGGAGCCAGAGGCTTTCCCGGTAAGCCTCGCAGTGCCTGCCTCCCCTTCATAAAACATGCAAACCTCCATCTTCCAGCACGAGCAACATCTGCTCCAGATCAAAGGGAACAACAAAGAACAACTATAAAAGTGTCTGGAAGAAAGAAAAAGAGGGAGAGTCAGACTTGCGTTCTGCAGGCGATCTGTGATGTGCACTGGCAGCTTCCTGAGCATCAGCCTGACGCTGCTCCTGCTTTAATAACAGCTTCTCACTGCTGTCACACACAGAATTCCCTGTGTTTTACAGAGTTTGCTACCACGGGTCCTGCCTCTGGGATTCGGTGAGGGGGAGTCCTGGGTGTGCTGGGTATCCTTGCAGCAATGCTGAGAGTCAAACCAAGCCCACACTCCAAGATTCGAGGGGTCTGTCAAAGTCAGATGGGACCAGGCACAAGGCAGGACCCCAAAATCAGGCCCCAGGACTCCTCCAGGTTGGAAACAGAGCATTTGGCAGCACCCAGGTTGGAGAAGGTACAATGCTCCAGCTGCTGCAGTGCCTGGCACCTCCATTATGCCTTCTCCCTCTTTTGTGTTCCAAAGCTTTCTGCCTTTAGGGAGCAAATTGAGAGCCCTGTGCCTTCAATTACAGGTGTGTTATAATGGGCTTTTAAATCAGTTTGTGCTGCTTTAACACAATTATAATTAGGAGAAAAGCAGAGAGGGCTTTGTCCTTTCATCATACCAACCTTCCATCCTATCCTCCTTCCATCACATCATCCTTCCATCATATGCTCCCAGCTCAGGAGCCGTTCTGAGGATGTCTACAGGGCATGAGAAAGGGCAAACACAGCCTCAGAGCCTCCTTGGTCACGTAAATTTGTACACCAGTCCCTTGTGGGTGCTGATCCTTCCCCACAGAGCTGCTCAGACCCCAGGTTGGCACCATCCCCCCCTTCCCAGGTTCGGCACAGCTTTGCCCAGGGATTGATTCTCCTCCTCTTCACAAACCTGGCAGCAGGCAAAGCCATGAAGAAAGACGGCTGGAAACGAAGAGGACATACATAACAACCTTAATAAGCAATTAATAAATAACTAATGACAAT